ACAACAAATAATCTGTGGTCAATATTTTTGTTTCTTCATGTTCAGATGTTACCCTGCCTTTGCACTTTCTTTCTTTTCCTCAATAGTTGTTCCGCATCTTTGCTATTTTCTACTAGTAGTATGGTATCCTCTGTGTGTCTTAAATTGTTGATGTTCCTTCCTCCAATTTTCACACTTGCTTCCTTTGAGTCTAATCCAGCTTTACATATGCTATGTTTTACTTATAAATTAAATAGTTAGGGTGACAAAATGCAGCCTCAATCCCCTTGTCAATTGTAAACCATTATGTTTCTCTATATTCTGTCTTGACAGTGGCCTCTTGTCTTGAGTATAGGTTACACATCACAATGATCAAATGTTGTGGCAAACCCATTTCTTTTAGAGCATTCCATAGTTTTTCATTATATACACAATAAAATATTTTGCAGCAATCTATAATGCACAGACTAATTTTCTTTTAAACTTCTATTGATGCATGGTGCATTCCATTATCCAGCATATGTTTTGGAATATGATCCCTAGTGCCTCTTCCTTTTCTGAACCCAGTTTGGACATCTGGCATTTCTTGCTCCATATCTGGTAAAAGTCTTTGTTGCAAACAAATGCTACTTCATCTTTTTAAAATGCCCAACAAACAGGAGATGTCAGAGATTGCCTTTGAGATCTCTGCATCCCAAGCATGTTTTACCTTTAAGCTGTGGTAGCTGCCTCTTCCCTGTAAAAATGTGTAGGAGTATAATGAAAGGTAGCTTTAACATGACATCTTCCACATGGCTGGGGTCACAAACCTGATCATTCACCATGCTTACTGGGAATGATAGAAGTTGGAGTTCTAAGCACCTGGAAGACACCCCACTGTGGGAATTGCCACAAAGGATTTCCAAACAATATAGATGGCCACTAGGTCCACATTGATCTCAGTGACACCACAAGTGGAATGTATTGCTATGCTTTCTTTTTGACCAGCTTTGTGAACTCTGGTCAGGTCAGTTTCCAACTGTGAGGCCAGAAACTGGCTACATTGTGAATGTGAGCTGTATGGTCAGGGCTGACTCAAGACATTTTGTTAACTGAAAGGAAATTGGGAAATAACAATTCCATTCAAGCTATGGCTTTTAATGTTGTGGTTGTTGTGTCCCTTCAAGTTATTTCTGACTTATGGTGACCCTAAGGTCATGGGGTTTTCCTGGCAAAATTTGTTCAGAGGAGGTTTGCCTTTGCCTTCCCTTGAGGCTGAGAGCATGTGACTTGCCAAGGTCACCCAGTGGATTTCAGGGCTGAGCTGGGAATCGAACCCTGGTTTCCAGAATCATAGTCCAACACTCAGACCAAGCCAATTTATTTTGGTACATGAGACAGGAAATCTAACAAATGCAGCTCCTCTTCACTTGAATTAAAAATACAAGAATAAAACAAATAACAATTTGCTGGCCATTCGTGGCATAAAACAGTCATCTAGACCTAATGACAGGGCTGGCCCGAAATGAACCACATTTACTCTGCTAAAAATACTACACAATCACAAGTACCCCAGTGGGCTGAGTAGTAATGGTTGGCTAGTTAAGTGTGTGCTGCACTGGAAGTTGAGGGTGCATTGACTCGGATATCCATGGACACCTCAATACATGTGAACATTGCACAAATCAACTCATATGCAAAGGTATCTTGTAGTAGCACCTTTGAAGTCAAAGAAAAAAGCTGGTAACGTGAGCTTGCATAAACCTGAGTCTACTTCCTCAGACTGATTTTCCAGATTTACAGGGCTCTTTTTCTTTGAATTCTTCTCAACCCATGTTCAGAACATGGCCTGCATGTTGGCCTCCTTATCCAGTTTTCAAGCAGGACAAAATGCCTGTCTCAGTTTTAACACAATAGTTTGAGTAGAAATGTTCAACACCAGCCAGAACAGAAGGAAAAGCAGCAATTCATATGTAACCATGTGTGATGAGCTCACTCAGTACAGAAAGCTCCAGGATAAGTAGCTGCACCCCTAACCGTTCTGTCCCAGTTTCCCCATCTGCTCCCTTTGGGGCTTAGCCTTTTGCCACCTGTTCAGGCTTCTCTCCCATTTGGCCCTTTCCCCCCTCAGCATTACCTTTGAATTTTCCTGCAGTTAAACCCCCCCCCCACACACACTTTTCCTTTCTATTTTACACCACATCTCTCTCATCCATATTTCTTATCCTCCTCCTCCCAGGGTGACCAGATGTCTTAACTCCAAAAGGAGGACCATGTACTGTGAAATGTAGGGTATTAAAGAAAAATATAGGACATGACCAAATAAAAGTTCAAAACACTCATAAAAATATGCTTCTTAGTCCTGCTCATAATGGGGGATGTTTTGGAATCCCTCCTGGACAGGAGATTCAAATGTAGGATATCCCAGATAAATGTAGGACATGACTGAATAAAAGCTCAAAGCACTCATAGAAATGTAGATCCATGCTTCTTAGTCCTGCTCAAAATGGAGGACAGTTTGGAATTCCTCCTGGACAGAAGGCTCAAATGTAGGCCACATCCAGGAAAAGGAGGATGACTGGTCCAAGGTGACCAGATGTCCTAAGTGCCAAGGAGGACAAGGCACCACAAAATGTAGGCACATCCAAGAAAGATGTAGGACACGACCAAATAACAGTTCAGAACACTCGTATGTAAACGCCTGTATCTTAGTCCTGCTCAAAATGGAAGACACTTTGGAATTCCTCCTGGACAGAAGGCTCAAATCATAGAATCACAGAATTGGAAGAGACCTCACAGGGCCATCCAGTCCAACCCCCCTGCCATGCAGGAACTCAAAATCAAAGCACCCCTGACAGATGGCCATCCAGCCTCTGTTTAAAGATTTCCAAAGAATAAAAAGTAGGACATCTCCAGGAAAAGGAGGGCACATCCAGGAAAGTGTAAGACATGGGAGTCTAGTGGTAGTGGTTTGAGCCTTGGACTAGGGGCTCTGGAGACCAGAGTTCAAATTCCCTGCTGGGCCATGTAAACCCACTGAATGATCTTGGGCAAGTCACATTGTCTATCAACCTCAGAGGATGGCAAGATGGCAGACACCCCCTCTGAAGAAACCTGCCATGAAACCCCCGCCATAGGTTTGCCTTTGTTGTTGTTAACTGCCCCCAAGTTGATCTCATGGCAGCCCTATGGATGAGACATCTCCAAGACCCTATGGATCCTGCCCTGTTCTGCTAAATTCCTGCAACCCCTTAGTACCCTTGACCTCCTTAATAGTCCATCCATCTGGCATGTGGCCTTCCTCTCTTCCTACTTCCCTCCACCTTTCTCAGCATTATTCTCTTTTTCAAAGAGTCCTCTCTTCTCATGAAGTGTCTGAAGTATGACGGCCTCAGTTTGGTCATCTTGACTTCCAGGGAGGTTTCTGATTTGATCTGCTCTAGTACCCACTTGTTTGTCCTTTTGGCTGTCCATGGGATCCTCAGCACTCTTCTCCAGCATCACATTATCTCAAATACATTGATTTCCTTCCTATCATCTTTCTTAACTGTCCAGCTCTCACATCCATGCATGGTAATAGGGAATACAATGACTTGCATGATTCTAACTTTTGTGCTGAGTTGTATAATCTTTGCATTTTAGGATCTTTTCTAGTTCTTTCATAGTCACCCTCCCCATTCTTCTGATTTCCTGACTGTAGACCCCATTCCTTTCCATGTTTGCCTTAGGGTCTCCATAAAGTCGAAAAGCACTTGAAGGCACACGGGTGCCCCCTGCCTCCTGCCTGCCGTTTTAGCCCCTGGAGCAAAATCTCCTTGGAGGCAAAGCAAGGCAAGGCAAAGCGGGCACAGGTGAGGAGGAGGAGGAGGAG